GTGATGGTGGCTTTTAATTCTATTTAGATATTATTTAATTTTATTACGTGAACTGTATTGGACATGAGCCCATCGATACTACTCGGGTACAATTGATAGAAAAACGATTTTTACTTCTATTGAGAGAGTACTAAATCGAGGAAGGATGTTATCAATTAAATAGATAATAAACTTAAGTCAAAATAGGTCAACTATAAAATCGCAAATACACTACAATTAAAGACGGAAGAATTACGTATTAATGCTTTCACAACATTCGGCTATCAATCGATCGAGACGATATTGTACTCTGTTTTCGGTGATAACAAATGTATTCAAAAAAAAAGAATTGAGCAGTTATTGGCTATGGAGTGGAAGCAAACAAAAAGTAAATTAACAAAAAACGTACGTTTTGGGTTTGAAACAATTGCTGTTGCTTTATAGTTTTAGACCAGTTCCCAGTCATCATTATAATACTTTATTTCAATTTTACTTATAATGTGTCTTTCAATACCACGTTTTAATATTTGCAATATGTAGGAAATATCGATATTAAATATCTGATTGATCGTTGCTGGGTTCCGTTGGTTTTCCTTTTATGCTAAAAAAATGAACAAATAAATATTGAAGTTTTTTTCGTTCAATTAAAACCGTGTATTTCACCAACCCATTTCTTGCATAAATCAAAATCGAATGTCCGCTCAATATAACTAATGTCATAGCAAACATTGAAGGATATAATTGAACACCGAAATCATTATAATCTAGTTCCGTATTCTTCGCTATTATATACATAGAAACCTGACTTCCCAACCAGAGATTTGCAATGATGACTTCAATGGTAATTGCTAGACGATCTTTTGGCTCAAATTTCAATCGTTGTGTTACGTATAGTGAACCACAATATATTATAAATGGCCATAGGAAACCAATGCAAAGCAACTGAAATTGAATATTTATTATGATTATCGAGACCAATTAAATTGAATTTGTATAAAATCAACCTCAACCGTAAACATTCTGTATATAAACAAATCGATGTGTGGCGCTAAATAAAGGATGGTAGCGATTAAAATTAAAACTGGTGTCAAAACTATCTCCAAAACGTATTTAAAGTTGATTGTTAAACCGGGAATACAGCGCTTAGTTAAAAAACTAACACCAAATCCAACACATACAGGAAAAATTATAATCCAAACACTTGCTTTATAAAGTTCATAGATATCTTTTAATTCATCGTCAATAAAGCTAAAATCGCTGAAAATACGTTGCCCAGTCAAAAAGTATATGTGTCCAATACCTGCCAAAATAATTGAAATCGACTGAAAAATATAAATAGAGATGCCTAAATTCAACTAACCAATGCTTAGCACAATGTTAATTATGCTCGTCAATGTAGTTAATTCCGTATTTCCTTTTAAAATCAATGTCCAGACAATAAAATGTCTCATGATCCAATTACCTACTATTCCATCAAAATATGTATCATATAAATATTGCTTTGCATCATAATCACGGAACAGAGAGAAGCATAACACCAAACTAGACTTGTTTTAAAAAAATTGATTAAATTGTGTTTTAATTCAAATGGGACCAATTTTAGCTAGCTCACCATGGCAAAAAGAGTTTCTGTAGATAATATGCAACTGCGTCCAATTGGTTTTTTCAATACTTGTACCATGTTTTCGGAATCCAAAATACATCCCAAAACGAAAAATATAAGGAAATTAATAAATTGAGTTACTCTACTCGAGATTATTTCAAATGATCGCCGATACACATGAACTTCCAGTTTTTCCAGCGACTGTTCTTTCCTTTCTTCACGAATATAATCAATTTCGACATAGATTTTCGCTTTACCAAAAAAAATCGGGTTAAGTATGATTGGTCCTTCATAACTGTTGTTTTCAATTTCAAGCGCAGAAATTTGTTTTGATACTTTCACTACATCGGTGTTGCTGCTAACTAAATGAATAATTGATCTGGATTCTATCAACGCCGTTTTATTTAGATTTCGGATTTGTAAATTCAAGTAGTTGTCATCTTTATGCTTCATAGGCAAACCGAAGAAGTCATCACTAATTCCGTAATCAACCGTCCACTCAATTTGTCCATCAACGCACGATAGTTGATTTGAGAGGAAAAATAGTGCTCCCAAGAAACACGTTATAATTTTTGAATCCTTCGACAATAATGTCATTTTAGTCGAAATTGAATGTGGTGACTAAAAAATAAAATTATATTATGAGCGAAGCACAGGTTCCAACAGAAAAAAATCAATTAAAACCTTTTCCATCTAACAAATATCACATTTTTATAACAAAAAAAATGAATGAGATTAGAAGTGTGATTAAAAGGCCTCTGTCTATCTTATAGCTTTGATAACATAATACAATATGTCTTGATAACCAAGGGGAATGTCCAAGCACTTAGAGTATGTATGACATTTTGAAAACAGCGCACCATATCAGATCGATTGAATTAATGAACATGCTCTATGAACATTATGTGTTCTATATAACATGAGCTCTATTCGGGTACCTTATACAGCTATTTACCGGATTTGAGTTGGAAAACATTATCTCGACAAGTATGTCTTCAAGTATGTCAAAATAAAAGTGAGCATTACACACAAACTATTTTTGCTGTATGGGTTACAACAAAACTTAGCTATCAGACGCGATACAGTATTTTACTGTAATTTAAATCAAAATTACAATATTTTGCTGCAACTTATTTTAATTTTTATTTAAATACAATAAAATTGTTTGAATGACAATGAATTCGCTTGGATATTTTCAGCGATCTGGAATAGTTTGACAGTTCTGATACAAACCAATTTGAAAACGGCTTCTGTGATTGGTTTCAGTTTTGGCTCAAACCAAAACGGGGCAAGCGAAACGTAGAGAAAATGGTTTGCACTGTGTCCGTGTAAACACACACACACACA